AGAGAGTTCCTTATGTAGCCACGTTGGTTCTTTGTATGTTTTTCCCTTTCTTTCTCATCAACTTCATTTGGTGCTCCGTTGTCCGCATCCTCTGCCATCCCTATTGAATTTGGTGCCCTTTTGAGAGTCCTTGGCCACAGGGCCGTACTTTGTTCTTGCCAAGCCTTTTTTTTCCTACCAGGCTCTCGCCAAGGATACATTCTCTTAGGTGCTTTATTCCTTCCCATGTAGGAATGGGCTGAGGCTTTGGTGATCCTGGGCCGGTTCTGTGTCAGGTTTCAGACACCATGATCAAAGAATGCGTTACCATTCTTCATTAGCCACACTGGCCCATCACCTTTGTATCAGAAATCATCAACCATTGCCACCATAGTCCAGCCATATTATAGGGCCTCCAGACTAGTCTGGGAACACAGCTACCTTTCCATGGGGAAAATACATTCCAAGTTTAAAATGATAGATGTAAAAAGAAAATAACATTATAGAGTTGGAGACTGGCTATTCTTGAGGAGCCCTGAAGCTAGAGTCACTCACTGGTGGTGATCCTGGCCAAGTCACTTAACCTTTCTCTGCCTCAGTTTCCTCATCTGTAAAGTGAGGCTTAATGGGCTATAAGGTCCCTTCAAACTCCAAGCTAGTATCCTCTGACATGAGAGACAATGTAGAAGGTGAATGGAGAGTCTGTTGGGTCAGAAAGCCATGGGTTCAAATCCTACTTCTGCCACACTCTGTCTGGGATTGTGTGAATCCTCCAGACAACTTTCTAAGACTGTAAGCAGAGGTGAAGGAGCACCGTCCCCCAATGAAATCATAGGCCTGAGCCCTCCCCAATCTTCTCCCCAGTTGCATCAGTAGAGCACTTTAAGTTCATAGTTGGAAAGGACCTCAAAAGTCATCACATACCATTCACTTGCTTGACAGATTGAGGTTAAGTGACTGTACAGAGGTTATACGAATTATCTTACTTGAATCTTAAAACAGTCCTATGAGGTAAGTAGTAGCAATGCTATTATTCCCATCTTACAGGTGAGGAAACAGGTTCATAGAAGTACCTCACCTATGGTCACAGTGAGAGTAAGTTTCAGGGGCAGGGTTTGAACCCACATCTTCCTGCATCCACACCCAGTGCGCAGTCCTCTGGGCCATACTACTTCCCCTTATGCCCTCTCTCCGTTCTTCAAGTCCCTGATTCTATTCCTTTTCCCTTTGACCTCGATGCCTGCTTTACTCACCAGATCAAAGCCATGTGGCATAAGCCCCTTGGCCTTCCCTTCTTTCCACCCTACATTTTTTTATTCTTGTGGGGAGATCAGATAGGACCTGGCTTTCCAATCCACCATGGCCAGTGGCTCACAACAGAAGAAGGGTGGTCCCCCCCTAAAGAGTCCACCACCCCCAGGCATCACTCCTGGTTTAGACCTGTACCCTCAAGGACAAACAGGTGGATGTGCAGCCTGTGAGGGAGCCATTGGCCAGGTGAGGGCTGAGCCCTCAGTTCTGCTGAGTCTGGTCCCAAATGGTCATGATCCTATGAGCCATTGGCCCTCAGAACTTCTGCCTGGGGGGCCATTTTTCCATTGAACCCTGTTCCCCACTCAGGGCTTGAGGAAGGGGAAAAGGAATCTCTTAGCCAGTTTAGACGTGAACCTGGTGAGACCGTCTAGAATCTGAATGCAGCAGGGCCTGGCCGGCTGCCCATCATCAGGACCTGGCTGTGTTCCAGGGCTTGCCACAGAGAAAACTTTCGTCTTGTAAAGAAGGCCATTGGGGTAGAGTTCTAAGACCCAGGCAGGACCTTTTCCCCCAACTCCAGAAGGAGGAGGGGCTGGAAAGAACAGCCCCTTCATTGCTGTCCCAGAGAATGAAATGCCCTTGCTCCACTCCATGGCCTAATGTGATTGACTCACCTGTACTTTCTGTTGGATGCAAATCAAAACATCCTAACAATTTTCGTTGTTGTTCAGTCGTGTCTGACCCTTCATGACCCCATTTGGGGTTTTCTTGGCAAAGATACTGGAGTGGTTGGCCATCTCCTCTAGAAAACTGAGGCAGACAGGGTTAAGTGACTTGCCCAGGGCCACACAGCTAGGAAGTGTCTGAGGCCGGATTTGAACTTAGGAAGATGAGTCTTCTTGATGCCCAGCCCAGTGTTTTGTGCACTATGGCACCACCTTGCTGCTCAAAGTAGACTGGACCACTTTGGGAGCTGATGGGTTCTGTCTTGCTGGAGGGCTTCAAAGAAAGGCAGTTTGAGAGCAGATTGTTAATAGGTGACCTCTGAGGTCCCTTCCACCTTGGACATTGTGTGAGTTGATCATCTTTAGGCTTGACCTCTCTTCTTGAACCCCTGAGACCACTCTTAGAACATTTGCCAATACTACGAGTCAATATAAAACATCAGTATTCATGTCGTATCTTATATCTTAGTATATCATGTCATTATCTCAACTGCCCTTACATGATAGGTGCTTGGCAGACTCTCGAAAGATGAGAATGAATGAATGAATGAGGGAATGAGGAAATGAATGAATAAATTAATACATGTGGGGAGTGGAGGTTAATGAATCAGAGAATCATAGATTTTGAGTTGGGAAGGACCTTTGAAATCATTGAACCCAAGCTCCTTATTTTACAGATGAGGAAAGTGAGGTACAGAAAAGTTAGATGACTTGTCCAGGGCCACACAGTTAGTAAGTATCTGAGGTGAGATTTGAACCCCACTCTTCCTTATTTCCAAGTCTAGTACCCTGCCCACTACCCCACGACCCAAAGAAAGGTCATTAGGAGATCCTTGTTTCTGGTGCACCATGTTGCCTTCTGAGACCCTGCATGAAATAATGTGTGTGAAGCATTTTGTAAACCTGAAAGCCCTCTGGGTGTCAGTTCTGATGATGACGATGGTGATGGTGATGATGATGATGGTGATGATGGTGGTGATGGTGGTGGTGATGATGTCTGTTCTCCACCCACTCCTCCACCCCCCCTTGCAAGAGCCCTGTGTTTTCTTTCTCTGCAGCTGGGCCATCCAGATATCCATGGGTGTTGCAGAAATCAGAGTTGGGTATCTGAGCTCCAGGATACAATTTCACTGCAAGCTGCTAGCATCAAGATAACTCCAGTTTCTTGGCACGCCATCCTGGAGGTGGGGGTGGGGAGTCGGCTGGCAATTGGTGGCTCATGTTAGAGACATTTGTGTATGCTTCCTCCCCTGACCAGTTGCATGTTAAACACGCTTGCCGTTGCCAGCATGGAGGCTTTTTTCAACCCTTCCCCAGGGGAGTAGAAATGAGCCATGCCCTGGGCATAGTTTTTCCATGGTTTTCCTTCTTCGCTCACTCAGAGGGGCCTGCAGATAAACTCCCTCAGACACATTTATCCGCATTAGAGGAAGCATGAATTTTTAGAGGCTATTCCTGTGGAAGGGGATTACCGAGAATATGACTTGAGTATGTTGGGGAACAGGATATTCTGCAGGAGGCTTAAGCCCCTCCATTGTGGGGCAGACTCTGTAATTACAGGGGAAATCTGCTGGAGTTGTTGTCCCCATTAATGCAGAAATACAGAGCCGGTGGCATTGCCCGGAGGCCTGCGCACAGGCCTTGAAAGCCTTCATTTTAGGACCCACTTGTATGCGAAGCAAGGCAAGGCTGTGGAAGCAATGAAGTATTTTCTCATTAAGTGCAATGGTTTATTCCTTCTCTCGGTCGTTATCCTTTGGAATGAGAAACCTGTATTTTTGGCTTTGGGGAACCTCCTCTCGGTTGTGGCTTTGATGGTTTCTTTATGAACCAGGTTGTCTGGGGAAAAAGTTTCCTACCAGAGCAGGATGTGAACTCTGTTCCAGCTGGAACCGCTCCCTGCCGCCATTCTCCAAGTGTCTGGGGGAGACTGCTGTTTTAACTGGCAAACCCAGAAGGGGAGGGACTGCTCCCAGACCGCTGGAGAGTGAGCAAGGTTCTGTAACCTGATGGGAAAGGATGCGGACATTATCTCCCAGAGGGCGATGTGGCGGGGCCTTCTTAATGGTGTCAAACCGAGCATGGTTAGAGGAGGGGGTCCCAATCAGCATGCACGGTTTGAGAGGGAGCCAAGGTCCCCAGCTCCCTTCTAAGCCAGACTCCAAGAAGGTGCCACCTCCTATGACAAGGCTTCCTAACCTGGGCTCCACACACCCTCCAAAAGGGCTCCAGAAAAAAACAGATCTCTGAGTGCCAGTGAACTTGGGGGAACACCTGTTTTCACTGACCTCTAATAGAAGTTAACATTTCCTTTGATTATTTATAATCCTTCTTCTGGGAAGGGCTGTATCTCTCACACACACACACACACACACACACACACACACACACACACTCACTCACTCACTCACTCACCCTTAGACTTACATAAAGCTTTTGCTGACCCCAAATCCCTTTGTATTCACTTCATACGTGTGTTAAATATGCTTAATATGTGAATGCATTGTCTCTTCTGATAGGCTCTGACCTGGTGGCAGGGATGGTTCAGTTTCTGTCTCGGCAGCCTCCACAGTGCCCAGCACTTGGGAAATAATTGCTTGCTTGATGGGCAAAGGCCACAAGAAACTGGGGGTGTTTAGCCTGGGGATGGAAGCAATGAGACAAGGAATAAAATGCAAGTTGTCTTCAAGTAGTGGTTGGAAAGGCTGTGTCGTGTCAGAAACGAGGAGACCCATTTCCCTGGTCCCATGGGACGGAACAAGGTGAATCAGGGAAGTTCTAAAGGGCGTGTTTGGGCTGGGTGTTCGGAGGCTGCGATGTCCGTCAGGTGATGGGCTGCCTGGGAGGGGCCTCTCAGGGGCTTCCTGCAGAGGCTGGTGACCCACTCCCTGGGTGTGGCATGGAAGGGGATTCTGGTGCCGAGATGCCTCTAGAGCCTCGTCTAGCCCTCTCAGGGCTGGGGTTCTTGTGCGTAAGGGAGAAACTGGACCTCAAAAGCTCCGTAATTCTCTTCAGTGTCATATTCTCTCCTTTTGTCTGTAGGGAGTGGTACCAGTCGGCAGGAACAGTGGAATGCCTAATGTCACCTTTAAATATGACAGTAAGTAACCAACTTGTCTTCTACGACATAAAGTAACGTGAAACCCCGCGATGCTGTTGTTCGGTCATGTTTCCGTCATGTCTGGCTCTTCGTGACCCCATTTTGGGTTTTCTAGGCAGAGGTACTGGAGTGGTTTGCCATTTCCTTCGCCAGCTCATTTTACAGATGAGGAAACTGAAGCGCCACAATGCTTCTCTTTCTGGCCGTAGACAGTAATCAACAGTGATTCTATCGGGCTTTGAGGATGATGTTCTTGGCCAAGGGCAAAAAAAAAGAGTAAAAAAGATTGCTGAGCTTTCTAGAGGTTGCATCAGAGCTCCAGGATTCCATGGTACACGTCACCACTCAGCTAGAGTATAGAAGCTTAGCTAAATCCCCATGCCTCAGTTTCTCCTTGTAGATGATTTTTTTTTAACACTGTCAGTGAGAGTTTAAGGAGCTTGACTGGACACACGAAATAGGCAGTGAGATTATAATACCCCATCACTCGCTGACAGGCCCCAAGAATGTTGCTTTCAAGGTGTAGTGAAAAGATTGAGTCTGAAAGTGAGGACCTGGGTTTAAATCATGGCTTGGCTTTGCCACTTGCTGCTGTGTGGTCTTGGACAAGTCATGTACCCTTTCAGGCCTCAGTTTCTTTATCATGTCATCCAACCCTGAGGTGTATGAACAGAGTGAATCTGACTTATGGCTGGGAGCTTTTCTCTGGTCTGAGTGTCTGATCCAGATTTTAGCCACGTAGGTGAAGGTCTTACTAGCTGTGTGATCCTGGACAAGCCGCTTAACATCTCTCTGCCTCAGTTTCTTGATCTGTAAAATGGGGATAATATCACCTACCTCAGGATTATTTTGAGGATCAATTGAAATAATGAATGTGGAGGCAGCTAGGTGGCACAGTGGATAGAGCACTGGCCCCAGAGTCAGGAGGACCTGAGTTCAAATATGTTCTCAGACACTTGACATGCACTAGCTGTGTGACCCTGGGCAAGTCACTTAACTCCATTGCCTAGCCAAAATAATACTAATAATAATAATAATAGATGTGAAGTACTTTGCAAACCCTAAAGGGATAATTAAATGTTAGCTATTACTATTATTAGTTAGCAGTTTCCCAGAATATTCCCTTTAGCAAACAGGTCATGGAGTCATACCTTTTTTTTTTCTTCTGCTTTTTGGTGAGGCAGTTGGGGTTAAGTGACTTGCCCAGGGTCACACAGCCAGTAAGTGTCAAGTGTCTGAGGCCACATTTGAATTCGGGTCCTCCTGACTCCAAGGCCAGAGTTCTATCCGCTGTGCCACCTAGCTGCCCCAGGAGTCATACCTTCTTAAGACTTGCTAGCTAGTGGGGCAGCTAGGTGACCCAGTGAACTTGACACTTACTAGCTGTGTGACCCTGGGCAAGTCACTTAACCCCAATTGCCTAAAAACAAACAAAAACAACAACAACAACAAAAAAAGACTTGCTAGCTAGCCCCCTGGCTTCCCATGTTCACTTATTTGGTTCAGTCCCCATATTTCTTCCTGAAAGAAAAACCCATGAAATCCAGCTGTTTTTGTCTGCTCTGTGATATGGAAAACTGGGGGGTGGGGTGGGGATCAGTGTGAATAATTACTACTTGAGTAAAGTATTAGTCATAAAAACTTAATACTCCACACCAAGAAACCCAGACTGAGCACATGAGAGCCTCTCAGCCCTGGGACTCTTAGTAGCGGCCCCGCCCAGTCCTGCCCACCCCCTCCCCTCTAGGGGTGGTAATGTAAACCCCCAAGGGGTCAGTAACACTGAAGCCACCATATACAATTTCCCTCCATGTTGTACCCATGATGTCATAGCTGGGCATTGGAAACACATGTTTTTAAGTCTGGCAGAGTTGCCCACCTTCAGAGATGCCCCTTCCCTAGCCCAGGTTCTGTAGGATTTGAGTAAGATGAATCTGGGGGATTTTTAAGAATTTTAATTGTTTCCAATAGCGTATGCGAGAACCACAGTAATGTAAATGAAACTAGTAGCAAGAGAAAGTTGAACTCTGAGTAACTATAAAGCCTGGTCTCAGTACTGGAGAAATGGTCATAAAACACTGTTCCTTCCTCTCTGTAAAGAAGAGGGGGACCCCAGGTACAGAGTGCTGAATACACTTCCAGATGCAATTGTTGGGTTCATTACTTCTGCCTAACTTGTTTATTGTTATTTTTCCAGGGGGAGGGTTCACATCCACGTCCAAGCAGTGGGCTCTCCAAATAACATTAAAAGCAAAAGGTACCAATAAGATGCCATTTAAAAAAATTCATCGTTCTCATTCCACACTTTATTTTAGACTGTACAACTTACTTGAATCCAGTGGGAAAACATGTGATTACTGATGTGCAGAATATCACCATCAGCCAGTACGCCTGCTATGACCAGGTGGCCGTCACGGTGCTTTGGACAGCAGGTGCCCTGGGTAAGTGGAGGAAACATTTATTGCTCACATGTTTTGCCCGCATGACTTTGGTAGATGACGTCCAGGTGACGATCAGTAGGGAGATGATGATATGATAAGCTGAGTCGTGTCCATGAAACTGGAGGTCTTGTCCAGACCTCCCCTGGCATTAGAACCTTGTTTCTGGACCCTTTTGAGAGAACAGTAGAAGGAAGTCTTTCTCTGTGAGTAAAGGCCAATTAGCTGAGATCTTGAGCCTCATTAGGAAGAAAAGTGCTTGCATTTCATTGTGAGTTGGCTCATCTCAGTTGTGGTCAATAAAATAAGATGTGGGTGAATTGGAAGAAAGAACACTTGTTGAATAAATAGTGGGGAGGAAGGGTCACACTTTTTTTGAAACATTGTTTCATGAGCATCTATCGATTTCACCAACATTGCTTAGAAAGGGTTATGGTGGGTGATTGATGCTTGTACAGCACTATGTGGTTTCTTAAGGGCAATAAAAGAAAATTACATGGAGCTTTTAGAAATATTTACAGGGGGGCTTGGTGGAGAATGCCTTGGTGGCAACTTGGCTTGAAATTAAGCTCTTAACTGTGGAGCTGAGCTCAATTTTGTATGAAATGGACATGGTTTGGTATTACCAATAACCATGCCTCTTGTTATTGGTATAGCTCCGGGGCATATTGTTTAATGAGGACCCTTCCCTTGCAGAATCTCAGAGACCTTTGAGGCCATTTAATCCAATTTACCTGAGGGAAAATCCCCGACAAGTGGTCACTCCAACCTTACTTGAAAACTGCTAATGATTGGGAATCTCATTCCACTCTGGGATAGTTAAATTTGCAAAGGCTTGAAAGTCTCTCTCTTTAGATATAGTCAGAAAATGTAGTTTTCTTCCAAATAATAAAAGCTTAAATTTCTCTAGCATTCAAAGGTTGGCACATTGCTTTCTACCCATCAACTCCATGAGGTAGACAGCGCTCGTGATATTATCTCCATTTTACAAATGAGGAAACTGAGGCTGCAAGGCATCAAATGACCGGTCATGACCACAGACCTAGTTAGTATCTGGCTTGGGATACAAAGCCCAGTGCTTCATCCGCTCTGCAGTGGGCTATTGCCAGGACACTCCTGCTAATAGTGTTGCCAGACAGAAAGCCATTTATATTTACTTCTTATTAATTTTTTCCCCATATAACCTTAGGATACATGTACACACTTACATATAAACACAGATCTCCTTATAGAGTTCTACAATAGGGGATCTTCAGCTCTTTGATGTCAGAGAGCCCTTTGGCAGCCTACGGACCCCTCTTAAAATGTTTTAAAATGGCAACTAGGTGCCTCAACGGATAGAGCAGTGGGCCTGGATTCAAGAAGACCTGAGTTCAGATCCTGAATCAGACACTTAACTGGCTCTGGGACCTTTGGCAATATGCAGAATCTCTCTCTTCCTCAGTTTCCTGGTCTGTAAAATGGGGATAATAACAGCACCTACTGACTGCAGGTTAAGAACTCTAGGCTCAGAGGCTTAAACGGCATAGACATGATAGATCAGATCCCTCCTCAGGCACTTACTATCTTTGTGACCCTGGAGCAGGTCACTTCACCTCCTTGGCCTCAGTTTCCTTGTTGGTACAATGAGGGAGTTGGACCCTTGCCTGTAAGGTCCCTTCTGTCTCTAAATCTGTGATCCTATGAGTGATCCCCACAAAGGAAGGATGGAAATGAGATGACCCTTGCCCTCACTGTCTACAAGGACTGTGCATTACAGCCATTGGGAGTTGGCATGGCCCAATGGGAAGAAAAATCCCAGCTCTCTTAGTTCCTACCTGCGTGATCCCAGACAAGTTACTTTATGTCCTGGGCCTCAGTTTCCTCGTGTGTAAAATGAGCAGCTGAACTAAGTGACCTCCAGGGACCGCCTGTGTCCGTGTCTGAGTTCCTGTGATCTGGCATCACAGGATGGGAGAGCTTGACAGGCCGTGATAAAGGAAGAAAGGGGCCTCTCCTATCACATTCCCACCCCAGTTAATTGCATGCTATGCAATTACTGTAGCAGTAAGAAAACCCTGTGCCTCTAGAGGCGTGCACACAGGTTCAGCTGGTTTCTTTTCCTGGGAGTGTGTGCGAATGTGAACCCCTTGCTTCTCTTCTTATGCTTTGAGGAACTGTGATTATATCCACGTAGGCATTCCTTCCACCCAATGGAAATCTTGAGGGGCATGGTGAGTTACTGTGCCTCTCCTCCCCCAAGGAAATCCATTACCCAGTGATAGGGTGTGGGAATGGGTCTCTCCAAGCGTGGCCAGGATGGTCCTTGGGCTTCAGGCGCAACAATATATCTGGGGAGTTAGATGGATGCCAATAACACATGATAATTCTTTGGAAGCAATGTTGGTGAAATGGATGGAGCCCGTTACTGGGTCTGCCCTGGAAGCCTCCCTAGGTCTGATGAGACCTGCCACTTTACACTCTGCTATCATAGTCTTAGAGGACTCAGTATACCCCCACTCCCTCCAGAAGCTAAGGAGGTGAATGTTCGAGTGGATTGAAAAAAATATAGGGGGGTAGCTAGGTGGGCAGTGGATAGAGTCAGGAGGTCCTGAGTTCAAATGTAGCCTCAGACACATGATACTTATTAGCTGTGTGACCCTAGGCAAGTCACTTAACCCCGATTGCCAAGAAAGAAGGAAAGGAAGGAAGGAAGGAAGGAAGGAAGGAAGGAAGGAAGGAAGGAAGGAAGGAAGGAAGGAAGGAAGGAAGAAAGAAAGAAAGAAAGAAAGAAAGAAAGAAAGAAAGAAAGAAAGAAAGAAAGAAAGAAAGAAAGAAAGAAAGAAAGAAAGAGAAAAGAAAGAAAAGAGAAAAGCGTATCGGACTGTTTCTTCAGAAATTTAGGATCAGACAGCAGAGCTTGTTTGCCTGGGATCAGGTGTCCCCAGGACACAAAGCCTGGTGTGTTTGTTCACCTCGGTGGGGCCCTGAACTTAATCCTTGGGGAAGCATGTAGTGAGGCATGCTGTGGGAGCTTAGGTGACAGTGACCTCTCTTTCCTGGCCCCTGTAGGTCTGCATTCTACACTTGGGGTCCTCTGAGTGGTCTGATAAGAACATTTACCAGCTGATTTCTGAATGTCTTTTTCATGAAGAATTACAGAAAAAACCGTCATGTAAAAATCACATAGGCAGCTAGATGGCACATGGGATAGAGCATTAGACCTGGAGTCAGGAAGACCTGAGTTCAAATGTGACCTCAGTCACTTGCTAACTGTGTGACTCTGAGCAACTCACTTAACCTCCTTGGCCTCTATTTCCTCATCTGTAAAGTGGAAATAATATCACCTACCTCAGCACTGTTGTCAGGATGAAACGAGATAATATATGTAAATGCCTTGTAGACCTTCAGATGCTGTGTGAATGCTAGCTATTCTTATTATCCCAAGTCACTTAATCTTGGATTCGAGAAACCTCATCACTAGATCACAGATTAATAAATGTCTGTTGAACTGTCAGCCAAATCAAGATGACTGCTGCTACCCAAATACTATTTTTCCAAAGTAATGTTCTTAATAGAAGAACAGAAACTAAGGGCAGCATGGCAATATAAAAAGTGACAATGGGATAGGGGTGATCCTGAAGGGAAGAGGAACCTGCTTTTGGTGGGGAAAGAGAAAGGCATGTGCAGCCTTCACACACGTTTCCATTTCCTAATTATGGGTTGCCTGGTTTTGAATCTGCTACTTATATCCACCTGCCCTTGGGGAAGTCACTATCTCTCTGCATCTCAGTTACTCATCTGTAAATTGGGCTGGAAGGAGGACCTATCACATATTTCTTCATTATTTACATTGCTGATTCTCAGTTTCCTCATCTGTAAAATGGAAGCTGTGGTCCTTATCCTCCCCACCTGAGGACCACTGAGAAGCCCGACTCTGCCAACTCAGATGTGTTTGGCTTGGGATTGTTTTCCAGTAGTGGTGATGGAGCTAGGCTGATCCCAACACCCACCATCACACAGAGCCCCCTGGTGGCATACGGTGAGATGACGGATCGGGGGAAGGATGCAGCTTGTGGCCACAGAATGGGGAGAAGCTAACCGGCCTCATGGCAAGGGCAAGATGATGCTGAGAGCACTCATGAAGATAGCTGATGTTCCTATAGGACTCTGTGTGTGTGTGTGTGTGTGTGTGTGTGTATGTGTGTGTGTGTGTGTGAGAGAGAGAGAGAGAGAGAGAGAGAGAGAGAGAGAGAGAGAAAGAGAGAGAGAGACAGAAAGAGAGAGAGAGAGAGACAGAGAGGAGAGAGCTTCACAGCAAATCTGGGAAGTGGATACCTCTCATTATCCCCATTTTACAGTAATAGCCAGCATTTATTTTTATACTAATAGCTAGCTAGGCTTATTTTACAGATAGGGAAACCGAGGCTCAGAGAGGCTAAGGCCAGGCCCCACAGCTAGGCTGTCAGAGACACAGCTTGAATCAGGTCTTCTTGCCTAGAAGCCCAGCCCTTTGTCTCCTTTACCTCCTCCCCCACATCCCCATCTCTCCTTCCTCTATTCTACTTCGCCAGCTAAAGTAGCAACAATTCCTTTAACTCTGACGTGTGAGTGGTGAGAGATGCTTGGGGACAGGGCCGTGGCCATGTGCCATCTTGGAGCAGGACACGTGCTCAGAAATAATCAGTCTTGCCTTTAATGGGAGCCTTTGGTTTTCGTGCAGGCATCGAATTCCTCAAAGGATTTCGGGTCATCCTGGAGGAGCTGAAGTCGGAGGGGCGTCAGTGCCAGCAGATGCTCCTGAAGGACCCTAAGCAGCTCAACAGTAGTTTTAAAAGAACCGTAAGTTGCCTGTCAGTGACAGCATGGCCTTGTTAAGGGAAGGGACGGGGTTGATGGAGTCACACCAGGCTGTCCAGAAAGAAGCAATTAAGACAGCCGAGTGAGCTGTCTCTGTCCTCCTGGTCATGCTCCTTGGTGCCTGCTCTATGCCAGTGATCACAGAGCTCTAACGAGGGTGAGGCCAGTGAGGCTTTGCACCAGGGTGCTAAATTTGGAGGAGGCTCACAGCACTCTTAGGCCCTCGGTGGAGCAAAAACTTTAGAGATTAGCACCTAGGCAGCAAGAATAATAGTTAAAACAAGAAGCTACCTGATGCTGGGCAAGAGTGAGATCCTTCCCACTGCCCAAGAAGTGGCCTTGGTCTGATGCCTTGGGATCTTTTTCTTTGCTGCTTCTCCAAGTCACCCCAAGTTGTATTTATCCCAGGTGCAAAAATTCTTAATGTTCTTATTGCTAAGCCTAAGGATCTTTCCAGTATGGTTTGGGGAGAAAGAAAGGCTGTGTGTGTGATAGTTAGGGTTAGGGTTAGTATTAATAAGTGATGCATCTTACTATCCCCAAACTAATAGCAGTATTGGTGCCTGGCTTGATTTGTTAAGAGGTGTTTAGGATAGAGACCACAAGTTGGTCTGGACTTCTCCGGGATGGAAGGTGGGGGCCACAGATGGCCCATCTCCATCATCTGTGAGTAGCTCCCTGGGATGGCCGAGTGACTCATTGAATTAGCTCACCCAGCCTGCTTTCTCTCCCTTCTTCCAGGGCATGGAATCTCAGCCTTTTCTGAATATGAAATTTGAAACCGACTACTTTGTTAAGATTGTCCCCTTTCCTTCCATTAAAAATGAAAGTAATTACCACCCCTTCTTCTTCCGGACTCGACGTAAGTACAGCCTGCCCCCCGTCTCCACAGAGGGTCCTTTCAGGGGTGGCAACCAGCAACGTGCCCCCTTACCCCCATGAAGCACTCTGGAGAACACGCCTGTACTCAGGACTGATCCCCAAAGTGAGGGTGGAGATGGGCTCTCTGTTCCAAGGCAAAGGGCTCATGGCAAAGAATAGGGGGCCAGGAGCCAGTGAGCTAATGAAGGAACCTCTCCACTGTTCAGTCCAAGGATGGGGTTCTTCATTGGGGAAGGTCATTTGGAATGTAGAGTTCAGCTGGGCTGTTATTGAAGGGTGTGACAAAAGTGTGAATGTGGATGGGTTGGGGGGCATCCTGGGCAGCTCTTAATAGATAATTATATGGATCTGTAGAGTGGTTTCCTCATGGAATCTCCCTATATCATTTAAATTACCCGTCCAAATCACCCCTCCACCTAAATGAATGAATGAATGGATAGAAGGGAGGCATCTGGTCTTGGGTTCAAAAAGTCTGGCCTCTGACACATGCTCTCTGCAGGTCACAGGCCTTGGCCAATGCTCTTAGAATATAAGAGTCACTGATCTGCTCTGGAGAGTTTCCTCAAGTTTGGTTGGCAAGCATTTATGCAGAGCCCATGTTTTTCTGAAATGGGCTAAGGGCTGAGGTTACAGGGGAAGGCAAAAAAAAGCAAAGAAAAAAAAACAAATTTAGGCAGCTGGGTGGTGCAGTGGCTAGAGCTCTGGCCCTGGAGTCAGAAAGGCCTGAGTTCAAATTCGGCCTCATACACTTAGTAGCTACGTGACCCTTGGTGCCACAGGCAATTCTAAGGCATGGAGGTATTTGTTTGAGGGAATAGTTGTAGGAGGTATTTTTTTTTCTTCTGATGTATAATTGTGTTGAGATTGTTGCTATTATAGGATGTAATAAATCACTAGTACTTGTACCTTTGGCTGTGTTCAATCATATGTGATTGTAAAATGCCTGTCGCTTATTGTTTGCTACCTAATATTCACATCATTACAAGTGGTGAATAAATATTGCTTCAATTAAACCAGAAAACGGTGGAGAATGCTAGGTTTGGAGTCAGGAAGATCTGACTTTAAATTCCGCCTTGGATCTTTACTGGCTGTGTGATCCTGGTTAAGGCACTTAACCCTCAGCCTCAGTTTCCTCATCTGAAAAATGGGAAGAATAATAGCACCTACCTCATGAGGTTACTGTGAAACTCAAAAGAGAGAATGCAGGTAAAGCCACGTGCAGCCTCAGAGCTCTATATAATGGTTTTGTTGTTGAGTTGTGTTCTATCATGTCTGACTGTCCGTGGCCCATTTGGGTTTTCTTTGTGGAGATACTGGACTGGTTTGCCATTTCCTTCTTCAACTCATTTTGCAGATGAGGAAACTGAGGCTAACAGGGTTAAATGATTTGCTGAGGATCACACAGCTCATAAGTGCCCAGCACTCCATTCACTATGCTGCCACCTGGCTGTGTCAGAGGCCCCCAGAGCTGAGGTGATCCGCCCTGGGGCACACAGATCTGATTACAGGCGGGATTTGAACCCAGGCCTTTCTGACTCCAAGCCCAACAATTTTATCCACTACTGCATGCTTCCCTCTCCATATTATTTAATCGTGTCATGCTAATTATTTCATGTGCCGTCCCCTGAAGATGATCAGATCCTTGAGGGGAGAAATGTCCTAATGTGTTTGTGTCTTCCACAAAGCCTTGCACAGCAATGCACTCAAATGTTTGTTGCACGAATATGTGCAGTTTGCTCTCACCTGCACAGTGAGATGCTGGGAGCAGGTAAATGACTGATTGATTGAATTTGTTCATTTTTCTTTTCACTCCATAGCATGTGAATTGCTGCTTCAGCCAGACAACCTGGCCTGTAAACCTTGTAAGTAGAATCGCTAACAGCCCCTCGCCTGACCCACGGGCAGGAATCCATGGGCTGGGGCCGGGTGGCCGGTGTGTGGGGCTCACTTTCCCTCCCCCCTCCTCACTCTCCGCAGTCTGGAAGCCCAGGAACCTCAACATCACTCAGCAGGGGCTGAATATGCAGGTGTCCTTCGACCGCGCCCCCCACAACTTCGGGTTTCGCTTTTACTATCTTCACTACAAGCTCAGGCACCAAGGCCCCTTCAAACGCAAGACGTGCAGGCAGGTAAGCCTAGTGAAAGACGTCCACCTGACTCCATGTTGGGGCATGCTAGGGGGCGCCAGAGTGCCCAGAGCATCAGGTCTAGAATCCTGAAGACTCGTCTTCTTGAGTTCAAATGTGGCCTCGGACGATTACTAGCTGTGTGACCCTGGGTAAGTCACTTCACCCTGTTTGCCTCAGTTTCCTCATCTGTAAAATGAGCTGGAGAAGGAAATGGCCAACCACTCCAGTATTTCTGCCGAGAAAACCCCAAAGTGAGTCATGGAGAGTTAAACGTGGCTGAGATGACTGCACAGCAAAAGCACTTATTAAACACCTACTAGGTGCTTTGGGGATGCAAAAATGAAATGGTCCCTGCCTTCAAGAAGCTGACATTCTGGGGAGGGGGGCCGTGCTGTATCGTGTAAACAGATAGGGAAATACTCAGATATCTACAAAGGTACACAAAAGAATTTCAAGATGGACATAGCACTAACAACTGGGAAGGCCTCCCATCGGTAGCTTTGGAGGAATCCAGAGACTTGGAAAGCCTGTGTCTCTTGCCTGTTTTTCATCCTCCAAGCAGATGGACCTAAATTAAAGCCCCATGAAGTGATAAAACTCCAATATGGTACCCAAAGGGCCCCCCCAAGCCCTATTTTATTGCTCGGTGGTCTTCCCTTGGCCTCAAGTAAGAACATTCCTTAGAACTGACTGTTTGCAGACATTGGACCCAAAGGTGGCCGGGTGGGACAACGCAGCCAAAATGCCCTTTTAACAGCCTGAGGTGAAGACTTGTTTGGTTCCTCTTCCAAAGAGAAATCTGCAGGCTGCTATGAGCACAGGGAGGGACGGGCCTTACGGATCTGGAGGAATCCTAGACGTTCTTTTTAAGGAGGTCAATTTTTAAAATATGTATTTTTATTGTATTGCAGGAACAAAATACAGAGATAACCAGCTGCACTCTTCAGAATGTCTCTCCGGGGGACTATATAATTGAGGTAAAAATTGCTGAAACCATTCGTTGGAGTCCAGGAACACTAATGGATTTAATCTCTTAAAATAAATATGTCTTTTCTCTTTTGTTTTCTGTCACCCACCTTTCCCACTGTACTCTTGTCCCTCCATGCACTGCCTTCTAATAAAGACATTTTTGTAAATGAAAAAAGTAAAGCAAATCTAAGCAACCTATGTAAAAAGCCTATGTAAAAGGCAATGTTCCCAGCCATTCTCCTCCACGTCTTGCCTAGAAGAATTGAAAGGCGTCCTCTCCTGTTTCTTCTCTAAAGCCAAATCTCATCGTTTTAATTTTGCAATTATAAGTAAATGAAATGAGCTGAATGAGGAAATGGCAAACCACTGCAGTGTCTTTCCAAAGAAAACCCCAAAAGGGGGTCATGAAGAGTCTGACATGATTGAAAATAACTAAACAACAACAAAACTTTTGCAAGGGGGCTTAATTTTAATCAGAAATGTCAGGCATCATGGCCTGGGTCAGAAGAGTCAGATTGGTCGAAGACCTGGGTTCAGATTCTGTTGCTCCTTACTCTCTGTGTAACTGTAGACCCCTCTCTGGGTCTCAGTTTTCTCATCTCTAAAATGAGGGGATTGTGGCCTCGATGACCTCTGGGGTCCAACTCTATATTTGCTCTTCTATATAGATTCTCGTAGCCTTAGAAATGTTAGATTTTGGCTGATATCATGGAATTGTTCTGTGAGTCAGGGATTTCTTGACTTGGTGAAGGAAACATGGTTTTTTGGCCCCCAGGTGATGGAGATTTCCACACACAGAAAACTGTGAAGAGCATTTCCTACTTAATTTGTAGAAGGGTCATGGACCCAGGAGGAGGAAGGAAGCTCCCACATGGATGAGAACCGTGTGTCCTTGAAGGCTTGCAGCCTCGTTCTGAGATAATATGCCAAAGGTGGACCTGTCGTGGGCTTTTCCACTTTCCTCATCTGTCACCTGATCAGGTGTCATGCTCTCGGCAAAACACAGAGTGCAGCCCTAACCAGATTAAAATGTAATTGGGAAGTGTTAAACAAAATAAACAGAAACACCAGGACATAGATAATATTAATTTGTGGTTTTCTAAGTCAATGTGTGGCAGCGGGAACATCGTTTTTGTGTGAGTTTGCCCACACTAGGCTCCGAGCTCCCTTCTTTCTCCAGTGGTCTCTATAATTCTATTCAAGATTTAAACTCAGTGCCTGAATGACCTCCCAACACTTATCAATCAACAGTCTTGGCATTTTCTATTTCAAAAGCCCAATGGCCACCTCTTCTTCCTTTACCTGCCCCCACATAATGGACATTTTCACCCTCCTCATTTTCATCCTGGCTAGGATGACTGTTTATTTTAAGGCTCTTAATTCACATGGGCACAGATTAGGAGGGAGAAGCTATAATTTTCAGAACTAGATAACACATATCATATTAAGATGAGCTTCTCTCTCTTCTAGCTTGTGGATGACACAAATACAACCAGAAAAATGATGCATTATGTCTTCAAGCCAGGTAAGCAGTCTCTTCTCCCAGAGGGATCCTGCTTTGGGTTCCGAGAAGACAAAGCATCTAAGGCGTTCCGAGCCTCCCCCACCCCTTGGATCACCCCGCAGAAACATTCATCAAACCCCATTCGGTTTTTGGAAAGGTTTTGATGCTTACTACATGCATGACTTTGGGGAAGTCACATCCCATCTGTAAACACAGGATTGTCTGCTGGGGTGTGTGCCTGCCTTGGTTTACCTTCTGGCTCTGAACTTTGAAGACAGTTCCCCAAAGTTACCTATGGTCTTAACAGATTCTCCTGGGGAGCTATTTTTGGTTCCTGTATCAAAGAATTTGAAGGGACTCTGTAAATCCTTTTGAATAAGTTGAAACTAGCACGGTACAGTAGAAAGGGCAATGGGTTTGGAGTCAGGGACCTGGATTCAAATTCCGGCTCTGCCCTTACTTGGCCTCTTCTCCTTCTCTGTGTCTTTGTTTGTAAACTGAGGGTATGGATTTGATATCTCTCTGGTCCTGTACACCTCTAGAGCTATGAGCCAAGAGATAAAAGTGTTACCAACTATTTTTAAGGGAGTTGGGAGGAGTAATAATAACAATCAATGATGGTGGTGATGCCTGACATTAAGAAAAGCACTTAAAGATTTGCAAAGTCCTTTATCTCATTAATTTTTATTAAAATCATTACATTATTATCACTGTTATCTCATTTGATCCTCATAACATCGCAATCCCTCTTTTACAGATAAGGAAACTGAGGCTGAAAAGTTAAATGTCTTTTCTAGGGTCATAGCTAGTGTCTTGAGGGAGCGTCTGAACTCGTCTTCTAACTCTAGTCCACTGTGCCATCTGGTGGCCTCAAGTGGAATAGCAGAGTTCATCTGATCGTGGGAGCTAGCTTACCCCACCCATTTAGCGCGCTGAGCCTCGTTTTCTTCATCTACAAAATTAGAATAATGAGGATGATGATGATAATGATGATGGTATTGATGGTAATAATTACAATGATACGTATAATGATTATGATAATAACAATACTAATGATGTTATAATGATGATATAATTACAGTAGTGATTAATATAATGGTGATTATAATACTGGTGATAACAATGTTGATTATAATGATGATAATTATAATTGCGATGATAATTGTGATGGTGATGATTTTAATAATGACAGTTATTATAATGCTGACGATGATAATTACAGTAATGATGGTGATGATGATGATAACAGTAACCACTGCTTTCCTCACTGGTTTGTGAGGAGCTGAGTGCTTTGGGGGCCTGAAAATCTTCAGACAGTGGGTAGCTTGATAGTGGTGGTGGAGCTGAGGGTGGTCTCACGCACGGCTTCTTGGCAGCATGTCCCGTCTCTGAGGGCTCTCTTCCCTTTTTGAACCCTAGTGCATTCTCCCTGGGCTGGGCCCATCCGGGCCATCGCCATCACAGTCCCGTTGGTTGTCATCTCTGCCTTCGCGACGCTCTTCACCGTCATGTGTCGCAAGAAGCAGCAAGGTACGTCTTGGGTCGATGTGGTGGGGGCGCTGGAGAGATCCCCGCACTTGGCGGGCTGCATTGGAGGTCAGTGGCCGCTCGCTTGCCCTGGGAAGGCGCAGACATCGCTCGGCTTTGGGTTCCTTTTCAGAAGAGCAGAGACGGCCCTGTGGAGTAGGTAGTGGGCCAGCCCTAGGCCCAGGTGACCTCAGCTTGAGTCCAGCCCCAACATATACTAGCTCTGTGACCATGGGCAAGGCTCTTAGGCCGTCAATGCCACGGGGAGCCCTTTAAGACATGCAGTTGCTGAGCTTTATTGGTGGAGAGAGTTTTCATACCTGAGATCTCAGGTCCAAACAATGCCAAAACTGTGCCCCATCCATCTCATACGAGGAGAGTACTTTGAAATTATAAGGCATGATGGAATATGCGGTGATCACCATCATCAGTTAAAAAGCAGAATGATTCCGTTGTGTAGAGGTGGGGGGCTATGGGCATGAAGCAGTGCATGTGCTTTTGGACAGACTTGCCTTTTTGGTTAGTTTGGTGGCTTTTTGTTTTAAGAGAGTGTTCAGTAGGAGCAGGAAGGCTCAATATCTCAGTAAAATACTGATTTTTTAAAAAAAAAAAAAGCACCATGAACTTCTAAAAACGGGAAACACATTTGAGAATGAGGAGTCTGAGTCCCCTGTAGCCCAGTTTTGTGTCCACCACAGAACTGGCTGTTCTACATCCCAAGGACTACAAGCAGGCGGGGGCGGGGGGTGGGGGGGAGGTTTCCCTCTATTCCAGCCCTCTGCCCAGCCAGTAAGTTGCCAGTACCAGATGACTGTCCTTCTGCAACATCCTTGGCTCCCATGTCCTTCTCTCTACCCACTGGTAGTAACTTACATCAGGCCTTAATCGCCTTTCCCCATGGCTGTTCTAAAAGCTGCCTAGTCATTTCTTGGCTGCCTCTGCCTCTGTAATCCACATTCACGTTGCTACCAGAGTCACATTTCTAAGGTACAAGTCTGATTGTGCCCCTCAGGAGAGTGCTCAGATGCCTTCAGTGGCTCACTGTTGCCTCTAGGATAAAATAGAGGCTGCCGAGCCTGACACTCAAGGCCTTCCACCATCTGACTCTGTCTTATTTAGCATGATTGCCCTTTGTACATTGCACAAGACACATCAACCATCACTGAGTTTGACACGTGTTGTCTCCACTTTTCAGAAACCTCTCCAAAGCTTAGCTCCACTGTTATTTTCTCCCTGCAGCCCTCCCCTCGGAAGTGTTTTCTCCTGTTGCTAGTCTTTTTAATGTACCTTGTCTGAAAATTTCTTTGGCTTCTATTACTTTTAGCTAGGTGGCACAGTGGATAGAGTCCCCAGCCTGGAGTCAGGAAGACCTGAGTTCAAATCCAGCCTCAGACACTTATTAGCTCTGTGACCCTGGGCAAGTCACTTACCCCTGTTGACCTGTTTCTTCATCTGGGAAATATTTAGCAGCATGGCCCACGGGATGGAAAACCGGTGTTTGAATAAGGGGCAGCGTGGGTTCAAAGTCCCAATTTTGGCACGTATGGGCTGAGTGACCACTGGGCAGGTCACTAGGAGAGCCCCAGGCAGAACATGCTAAGGCTCTAAGCTTCATAAGCTGCAAAACTTACTGTTGTAGCGTCTGCATTGGTCATAGGATTGCCTTCCTGGCCAATGAAATCACAGCTTGGACCAAAAAAAGTGCAAGGTCCTGTGGTAGGCCCTAGGATGCAAAAAAGAACTGGTCTCTGTTCTCAGGGAGTTTGTCTTCTTTAAAGAGGATGATAACAATAAGAGCTAATATTTATATAAACACTTTACATTTGTGCCATTAAATTGTAAGCTCCTTGAGGGCAGGGACTGTCTCTTGCCACTTTTTGTATCCCCAGCACTTAGCACAGTGCCTGGCACATAGTAGGTGCTTAATAAATGTTTATTGATTTAAGGGGAAGAAGATTGGAGTTTTGATTTTGTTACTATTAATTCTTACATCAACCTTATGAGGTGGATACTGTTATTATACCCATTTTACAAAAGAAGAAACTGAAATAAACAGGTTAAGTGAGTAGCTCAAGGTCACACAGCTAGTGTCTGAGGCCCCATTTGAACTCAGGTCTTCCTGATTTCCAGCCCCAGCACTCTACCCACTATACCATCTAACTTCCTCTAGGCACAAAAATCATGCTCTCTGATAAGGAAATACAAGATTATTTCAGGAGGGAGAAAATGCTAAAACGGAGGTAACGGCATAGGGAGAGTGTCAAGGTTGGCTTCCTGGAGGCGGTGACCCCTGTCTGAATTCTGAAGAAAATTCTGAATCTTAAGAGGCTGAGATGAGGAGGTGGAGAATGTAAGCTTCTTGAGCACATGGGTAGTTTTGGGTTTTGCCTTTGTAACCCCAGTGGCTGGCATACAGTAGGTACTTACTAATTGCCTTTTGCATTAAATGGAAGCGTAATTGGATGGGGCAGCCAAGCAGGGATGGTTGGCGGGATTAAAAAACGGTCCAGAGCTTCAGCTTCCTGTTAGCACAGACGCTGCTCATTCTGGCATGGGGGGAGTGTGGATTTAGCCAGTGTGGGAACCTTGGCCCCCATGTGACTGACTTCAGGGAAGAAAGGATTCCCACTTCGCAAAAGTTCTCTGCAGAAAGTTAGTTCTCATCTTTTATCACGAAGCTCTCGAGAAAGTGGTGGGTGCCAGCGCCCTCTGGTGGTCAGTAGCTGTCTTTGCATTCTTTTCTGTGGCCAAGCACAGCTGCGGTCTCTTCTACCTGCCAAATGCACCAGCCCCTTAACCAGTGGGGGATCATGTGAAGGCTGGTGGGGTTTGTATGGAGGGATGCCTCTCATGGGGAAAAAAAACCTGAGTTGTTTGCTCTTTTTTTAAAAATACATTTTTATTGAAGTTTTCTTTCTTGCATTGCCATAGTTTACCGTCCTTCTTCCCCCTCCTGGAGACCTCCCATAGAACAAATAGTATTTTTAAAGATTAAAAAAAGAGGAAAAAATCAGTACAACTGATCAATGCATGGAAAGAGTCTGAAAAGATGCGCATCATTCAGCACACACAGCCAGGCTCTCGTGTTCTTAATCCTTAGGGAAAGGAGAAGTGTTGCCGTTGGGTGCCAACTGTATCTTCTTTTTCAATTTAGAAAATATATATTCACATTTAGATGAGGAGAGCTCGGAGTCCTCCACGTACATGGCCGTGGCCCCTGGGGAGAGACTCCATCCTCGGCCCAAAGTGTTCATCTGCTACTCCAGCAAAGACTGCCAGAAACACATGACCGTCATCCAATGCTTTGCCTACTTCCTGCAGGACTTCTGCGGCTGCGAGGTGAGCTGTGCCCCTGCCCCTGCCCAGCAGGGATCAGGGTGAGTGTAGCACTCTCAGGAGGGCTGTGTACCCTTCTCTGAAAATAGCGCCAACTCGGGGAGGGTGGGAGATGGGGTCTTATGCTGCTGGGATCAAGAGTCAAACCAGGCAATGTCTGTGACATACCCTGCACTGTGTAAAAGTCAGTTTATTGTTGTTAGGATGCTGGTGGTGGTTACTCTCAATGGATGGATACAGCATGGATCAGTAGACAGAGAATTGGCTTCAGAGTCTGTGAGACCTGGGTTCAAGTCCCACCTACACAGTAGCTGCGTGACTCTGGGCAAGTCACTTGCTCTTTCCATGCCCAGGCAAACTCTGAGAGCCCAGGTTGTAGAGGTGGTACTGATCCTGCCTCCTCCCCATGACAGATACTCCTTCATATCCTCTAGCATGGCTCTCATGGCTTCTTGAGTCTACCCCTCTCTGTGCTGAACACTCCCATTCCTGTAGAGCAGGGGCTCTCAGCCTGAGGCCTGTGGACTTGGCTATTTAAATATCTGGATGACTGATGTCTCTATAGTTGTTTTCCTTTGTGATGCCGTCTATCGTATCTTATGCATTGTATAACCATTATTCTAAGAAGGCATCCGTTGGCCGTACCACATGCCAAAGGGGCCATGTCACGAAGAAAGGGAAAGCTTCTTGGCTTGAAGTCGGTCCAGGCCCCTTTCAGTGGACACTCTAAGCTGCCTACTTCCCATCCTTAACTTACCCTTCAAGACTGATTTTCCAGGAGCTGTGTGACTCGCGAAGATCTTCAAAGTCCTGACCTGACATTGTATGTAATAAGACTGCCCCCTTGTGTTCAGATAATTAATTACAAGGCTTGGCCATTTTCCTGTTTAGTTTTGAGATCTGCTTCTCTCCTAGATTTGGTTTATGGAGCCCAGCCGGTGGCAGGGCCAAATTCCTGTTGTCCCCTTTCAGCAAACATTCCTTCCTCTTCCTCACCCCATCTGACCCAAACACACACGGCCTCTTGACCTCCAGGCCGTGTATCATTAGCGCCCTGGATCCTGGCCAGCTGTTTCACAGATGTGTAGTGGGGGTCACAGAGGGAGCCAGCCAGGGGTGGCCGGATCCCTGGCCAGCTGTCTCTGCTCCTGGAGCAACCGCTCACAGCCCCCTGGATCTGGCAAGATGATCATTGCAGATTCACTTTTCCACTTCGTTTTTGGATTTTCATCTGACTTGTGTGAAAATGGCGAGAGAGAAAAATATGCCCTAAGATAGCTCCATGTTCCTGAATGTGTTGTGTCTTCTGCATGTGGAGGGAGCGGTGGATGGAGGCTGTGTCTTCAGGCTGCTAATGGCCTGTCTCTGATCACGTTTATTGTGGGAACAGAGACCAGGATCAGATCTTCTTTCCCACCTCCTGCTAGAAAAGCAAACACAGATGACTCCCGGTCGTGCTTCTTTTTTCTTAAATACACACCATGAAGAAATATCTGTATCCGGTATCCTGAAGAAATATGACAGAGTGTGGCATGGTGGCCTCAAGCCACGAAGGCTTGGGTTCAAATCCTGCCTCTGAAACATCCTTGCTGTGTGACCCTAGATAAGTCTCTTACCGTCCAGGTGCCCCACGCAACTCTTGGGAGACTGTAAGTGCCCGTCTGTAAGGAGAGAGGGAGTTTCTTTAGGAGTTCCTAGAAGTCTAAAAAAAGTTGTCATAGTTAAGTCAACATTTTACATGTCAGTATGAGGACTCCCTCCATTGACTCAGATTGCAGCCCCTCTCATTGCTCCAAATGGTCTCTGGTTGAAAACAATTCATTACTCTGAGGCCAAGCTGAGGGTGAGGGTGTTCCAGTGTAGCTCTGCTGAGGCTGGTCCTCAGACGACAGACAAACGGCATCCTGGATTTAGAGCTGGGGCACCTCAGAGGGACATGACTCCAGCTTCTCATTTTTCATATGTCAGAGAAATGACTTGACCAGAGCCACATAGGAATCAAGTGTCTGAGGCAGGACTCTAACACAGCCTTCTTCCCACCCGTGACACCATACTGAAAGCCTTTGCCGCTTGGCCTTGGCTTCCAAAGTTTGCACTCGTGAGAGGGGGAGGGGAGGCAGTAACATTGTCTGGGAGTCTGGACATTGTGCAGAGGGTGGGGATCCCCTCACCTGGAGGTCTTTGGCCAGGGCTGGATGACCCGCTGTCAGGTAGGGATCCTTGCACAGGTATGGACTGGCCACGATTCAGACGGTCAATTCAGTGACATCAGCGAGTGACCCCGACCCCATCTGAGTCTCTTCTTGTCTCCTCCTACCAGAATGTAAGCTTCTTGAGGGCAGGGCCTTTCTTCACTTTCTCTGTTGATTATTCTAGTATTTGACACAGTTCTTGGCACATACTAAGCACTTGGGCTTTTTGTTTTTTAATTAGCAGTCATTTATTTTCTCTCCCTCTTTTCCCCTCCAAAACAAACAACAGTGACAACAAAAAAAACCCCACAAATAAGTATAGCCCAGCAAAACAAATGTCTACACTGGCCATGTAAATAATATGTACACACACACACACACACACACACACACACACACACACACACAAATAGATATCTATGTCTATCTACATCTATCTTGATGTCAAAGGAGATACTGATATCATCATAGGTGTATCTCATTATATATCCTGTGTTGGACAGTTTTTATTTTTATTTTTTTCCAGTGGATTATTTTTTTAACTTAATTTGGTGTTGATATCCAAGTTCAGGGTTGGCTTGCTTTGAAACATTTAGTAGTTTTCTCTCCAGTATCTAAAACTGTCTGGTCTGTGCCAGCTTGGAAGAGGTCAGCCTGTCAGCAAGTATCTACTGTATTCTGGGCACAGTATACAACAGTCTCAGATGGGTTTGTCCTCCTTCCATCTGTATTTCCTTCCCCTTTCCCCTTCCTCTTCCCTTCTTCCTCTTCCCCTCTTCTCCTTCCCCTCCCTTTCTTCCCCTTCCTTTCTCCCCTCTTCCCTTTCTTCTCCCCTCTCCCCCATCCTCTTCCCCTCTTCTTCTTTCTCTTCCCTTCTCTTTTCCCTTTCCTCTTCTCTTTCTTCTCCCCCTTCTTTCCCCTTCCCCTCACTCCTCCCCTCTTCTTCCTCTCTTGTCCTTCCTTTCTCTCCTTTTCCCTTTCTCTTCTCACCTCTTCCCTTTCCTCTTCTCTTTCTCCCTCCTTCCCTTTTCTCTCCCCCTTCTTTTCTCTTCCCCTTCCTCTTCCCCTCTTCCCTTTCCACTTCCCGTTCTCCCCTCTTCCCTTTCCTTTTTCCCCTTCCCCTTCCTCTTTCCCTTCCTCCTCCTCCTCGCCATTCATTTGAGGTTCATTTCTTGTCAACCAAGGCTCTGTTTTCTCCTGTAGGTTGCCCTGGATCTGTGGGAAGACTTCAAGACATGCCGGGAGGGGCAGAAGGAGTGGGTCATCCGGAAGATCCGGGAGTCCCACTTTGTCATAGTCGTGTGCTCCAAGGGGATGAAGTACTTTGTTGAGAAGAAGACCTGTAAGCACAGGGGAGGGAGGCGAGGCTCCACTGACGGAGGCGAGCTCTTCCTGGTGGCCGTGGCCGCCATCGCCGAGAAGCTCCGCCAGGCCAAGCAGAGCTCAGCCGATCTGGGCAAATACATCGCCGTCTACTTCGATTACTCCTGTGAGGGCGACGTTCCCGGCGTGCTGGACCTGGGCATCAAATACAAGCTCATGGATCACCTCCCCCAGCTCTATTCTCACCTGCACTCTCGAGGTCTCAGCCCGCAGGATCCGGACCTCTATCCCGTCAACCTCAGCAAGAGGAATTATTTTCGGAGCAAGTCTGGCCGGTCTCTGTACGTGGCAATCTGCAACATGCACCAGCTTATCGATCAGGAACCCGACTGGTTTGAGAAACAGTTCCTTCCTTTCCCTCCTCCCCCGCTACATTACCAGGAGCCCGTCATGGAGAAATTTGACTCTGGCTTGGTGCTGAACGATGTCACCTGCAAGCAGGCGGCTGAAGGCGACTTCTACCTGAAGGCGGAAGCCGCGATCCTTGGCGCTGGTGCTGCGGACTCTCGTTCGGTCCTGCCCCATTTAAGCCTGGAAGAAGACGGGGACTCCCAGTACACTCATGACGGCAGCTGCGTTCTCCGGCCCTTGTTGCACACTGTGAAGGCGGTCAGTCCCCCCGACATGCCGAGGGATTCTGGCATCTATGACTCTTCTGTGCCTTCATCAGAGTTATCGCTGCCTCTGATGGAAGGACTTTTGATAGACCAAATGGAAACCTCCTCCATCACGGGGAGTGTGTCTTCTTCTTCAGGCTTGGGTAAGTGTCAGTTTGTCAAACGTCAAGGCAAAATAGGGAGTTAGCCTTGTTCAGGGGCGTGAGGGCCAGCCTCTGGTTTGGAAGACCTTGCTTCCAGGACTGCTGCTGATTCAGGCTGGTTGTGTGACCCTGGGCAAGTCATTCATCTCCCCCTGCCGCAGTCAGTTCTGACCCTGTAAGTTGCATAAGAGTCGTTGACCTGTTGTTGGAGGGAATTTCCACACTGGGAGCTCCCCCCCAGTGAACTTGTAGGTCTGGTTTTCCACTTTCCCAAATATGCATGGCACTATATGAGACTTTGGGGGTATAGGAAGAAAAACGGAACAGCCCCAGCATTGCTGGAGCTTACATTCTACTGGGCACAAACTGTGTGTATGGAGGGAGATGAGCTAATATAAAATTAATTTCAAGTTTGTTGTTGTTCAGACTTTTCAGTTGTGTCTGACTCTTTGTGAGCCCATTTGGGGTTTTCTTGGCAGAAATTCTAGAGTGTGGTTTGCCTTTTCCTTCTCCAGCTCATTTTATAGATGAGGAAAATGAGGCAAACTGGGTTAAGTGACTTGTCCAGGATCACACAATCAGTAAGAGTCTGAGGCTGAATTTGAACTCAGGCCCAGTGCTTTATCCGCAGCAGCGCTACCTCGCTGCCTCAGCTTTAGTAGGTAGAGAGCATTAACTATGGCAATTTATGGCAGCGAGGGTCAGGAAAGGTCTTATATACATGTATGGGAGATAGTAACTGAGCTGTGCTTTGAAGCCAGAGGGAATGCATTCTTGTCAGGGTGTAGTCTGAGCAAAGGCACGGAGGTGGGAAAATGGCTGTTGTGCAGGGGTAGCAGCAGGATGGTTCAGGAAGAGGAATGATAGGAAATTAGACTAGAAAGCTGGATGGAAAACAAACTGTGGAAGGCTTTGCTAATAGCAGAATGAGGAGGATGGATTTTTATCCTAGAGGTGGTGGGAAACTGCCAAATATTTCTGAGCAGGTCGGAGTAGCCAGCATTGGGAACCTGGGTGTGGAGGAAGTCTGTATTTCCTTGTGGATAATTAATGCCCATCACAATGTGCCTTGCAGAAACAGCTCACCCAAACTGCATCTCCCATGGTGGAGTCTATGACCATGCGTGCAAGTGTGCCTGTGTGTGCGCGCGTGTGTGTGTGTGTGTGTGTGTGTGTGTGTGTGTGTGCATGTGCTCAGCTGAGCATGACCCCATAAGGTTCCAGTGTCCCTCACACTGTCCCTGAGTAGACTTGGAGGTGCTCCTTTCAGAACGGTATTCATGTCCCCTGCTTGCCCGCTCAAGCTTTTTCTTAGTCTCTCTTGCTCTATCATGGCAACTCATTCTGGAAGCCAGAAATCAAATGCACTGTACATTGTGGGGTTTGCTTGCTTTTAAAAAATTTGTTTTAATAGGTCATGTATTTATCTGTGAACATCATGTCTCCCCAGGTAGGATGTAGGCTCCTTGAAGTCAGAGAGCTCACCCCCTTTTTATCTTTATGTTCATAGTACCTGGTGCTTAGTAAGGCAGCTAGATGGCACAGTGCCTGGGGTCAGGAAGACTTGAATTCAAATCCCACCTCAGACACTTATTAGCTGCGTGATCCATGGCAAATCACTTAATTTCTATTTGCCTCAGTTTCCTTATCTGTAAATGGGCATTATAATAGCACCTACCTCCCACAGCTGTGAGGATCGAATGAAACAGTAATTATAAAGTGTTTGGCACACAGTAGGTGCTACATGTTAGGTATTGTTATTATTATTATCATTATTATTATTATATCAATGAAATTACAGGTTAATCCCTATATTGACATTTCTAAAGAGCTTTAAGGTTTATAGCACACTTTCCTCATAACAGCCCTCTGAGGTAGATGGTGCTACAGCTATTATTATCCCCATTCTACAGATTAAAAGACTTGAGACTCTGGGAGGTTCAGGGTCTTACTTGTGTTCACACAGCTAGTAAGAGCCGGAGATAATTTTGAGCCCAGGTCTAGGATATCAATTCCAGCATTCTTTGAATGGCATCTGTTCAATTTGGCAGGAATTTACTACGTACTTACTCCTGTCAGTCACTGAGCTGAGCTCTAGGGGTACAAAACCAGAAACAAAAGAGCCTTGACCCTCAGAGAGCTTCCAGTCTACTCAGCCAGTTATTAAACATTTATCAAGCACATACTATGTGCAGTGGGGATACAAAAGATGCAAAAGAAAGTTCCTTCCCTCAAGGAGCTTACAGTCTACTAGAAAGAAAACACATGTGTACACATAAAAAATACATACAAAGTGATCCGGAGGGGTTGGGGGGGAATCAATAAAGATTCAGCAAGCATGCATTAAGCACCTCCTGTATGCCAGATACTTTTCTAGGTGCTGGGAATACAAAGACAGAGAAGCAGTAGTACAGTCACAGATCAGGAAATGCCAAGTCATTTCCCCCTATCATTTTTTTCTTTCTTTTCTGCAGGTGAAGAAGAGCCCCCTGTCTTCCCTTCCAAGTGCGTCGACTCTGGAGCGTGTAAAGCTGGACTCAGTGGGCACAGTTTCACCGATGAACTCCCAGTGGTTGGCCCGTTATAACCCGACAGAAGATTCTAATGCATTGCCACTTTAGCGACAGCGGACAGCGCCTGTGTGTCAGTCAACCCCTTGCCCCTCGCCCCGCCCCGTTGCCTACTTGAAGGAACGAACACCCTGCGTTTGGATGTTTCGAGGGAGCTTTTGGCCAGTACCAGTTTTCTTGCCCCTCCCTCTGCCCTTGGGTTTGGTAAAACCCGTCATCTGCAGACTCTTAAGAGGGCTTCGCAAGGGGAACCAGTAAGCACAGAATGCCCATTTCCCCACATTAGCTTGACTCCTTTGACCATGTTCACGTGTTCCTACCATTTTACGTTTATAACCCATCCTTGGATCTCTGACTAGGGCAGAAGGAAAGAGGCGTTAGAAAAGAAACAGCATTCAGGGAGAGAGAGAAATAGGGCTCTGTCTTCATTATGTCCTAGGTCCATTTGGTTGTACTTAGCACAAAAGGAGAGATGTGGATTTTCAGTTGAAATGACTGATGGAACAAAAACCTTTAGTGAAATCATAGACATAAGTTTTTCTGTGTCTAGAATTGTCACCCACTCCCTGGGAAATGTTCATTTGATAAAAGTAACAGGAATCTTCACCTACATAATCATAGATACACACATACACACATGACTTGTAAAAACTAAGTTTGGACAGGCAATACAGTGTAGTACAATTTGTTGTGAATTTGGAGCCTTAAGGGCCTGGATTCACCATCACTTACTACGTGTGTGACCTTTAATAAGCCCCTTGCCCCCTCCTCCGGGCTTCAGTTTCCTCATGTGTAAATGATGGGTGACCTCTGAAACATCTCTTCCAGCCATTAATCTATGATCTTTCGAGACTGAGAATGATTGGAAATGTGTGTCTGGAACCAGCCCTTGTCTAGTGCATGACCATTCTCTGTGTGCCCCTTCAATCCATGACCAATCATGATTCCACTAAGTCAAAGGTCATGTGGGCATATGTTTGTTTTTATTAAAAAGATGACGGTCTCGAAGTTGGAAAGGACCTCAAAGGTCACCTAATCTAGCCCTTTATCTGACTCAAGGGTTAGTTCTACTGTATTCTCAACAAGTCATCATCTATCTGGTCTCTGCCTGAAGACTACCAGAGGGGTAAGCAGAGAGCTCCTGAGGCAGCCCGCTCCATGTTAGGACAGCTCTGTCCCTTAAGCTTTTCTTGACCTCATGCCTAAATCCTCCTCTCTACTAGTTTTGCTGGGTGGGGGGGGCAAGCAGAACAAAGCTAATCCCTCTTCTATGGGACAGCCCTTTACTTGCTCAAAGACAGCTCTCCTGTCCCCACTGAGTTTTCTTTTCTCCAGATTTAGCCTCCTTGTTTCCTCTGACATATCCTTATACGTCATGATCTCAGGTCTTTTCATCACTTGGGTCGCCCCCTTGTGATGCTGGGTCCATATCTTTCCTAGAATGGAAGCGCAGTCCACCACGGGCTACACAGGGGAGAGGAGAGAGGAACCTCTCTCATTCAGAACACTTGGCCTCCTTCACGCAGCCTTGGAGAGTGTTTACTTATCTTGCTCCAATGTCACACTGTTGACTTGTGCCCCCCAATTCCCTGGATCTTTTTCACTGAAACCATCTATTTTCTAACCTTAGCTCATCAACCTGTGCTTGGGAAGTTGATTTTTTCAGCTAGTGTCCAGCTTTGTTCCTGTCAAGTTTTAGCCTATCTGAATTCATCCATTGTTCCAGCCTCGTGAGGTTTTGTTAAATCCTGTCATCCAGTGTGATGGCTGTCCGTCTCAGCCTTGTGTCATCTGTCAGTCTGCCAAGAGTGCTTTCTGTACCTTCCTCCAGTAAAAACCAGCAATCAGAAAAGGGACGCGGCCATATTCCTATGGCCCCTCACCATCCCCATTGACCTTGACCCTCATTACAACTCTCTAAGCCCTAGCTAGTAATTCAGCCAGGGCCAAATCCATCCAATTATGCCTCCATCCAGCCCACAACTTCCCATCTCATCCACAAAGACAGTGTAACTCACTTAATGGTCTGCTCATGCCTAAGTGAACTGTGTCTTTGGCATTCCTGTGGCCTAAGGGTCTGGTTGCTGGTATCAGAAGAGGAAATGAGACCAGTCTGGCATGACCAGCTCATGATGAAGCCGTGGTTCACAAACCATCTCTTTAGGATTATATTACAGAATGTTGCCAGGAAGGCCCTTCTTTCTCTCTTTAAGGCTTTAATTTTTTCAGTAAATATTTTTTTCCTTCCATCTTCTTAACTACCCCCACCCCCCACTGGAAGACAAAAAGAAAGGGGAAGAGACCCTTATAACAAATACACAGTCAGGTAAAACTGAGTCTTGCATCGGCCACGTCCAAAACCTGTTGGTCTCGTTCTGCACCGAGTCTGCCACCTCTTTGTCAGGCCATGGGGAGCATCAGCCCTCCAGAATCATGGCTGGTCACAGTCTTGATGAGGGTCAAGAAAAAAGCGTCCTTCTTTCGGTGCCTTACCATTTTATGTCTTTAGCATTCAATGTCAGGCTTAGGTATTCCTGGTCCTTCGATCTACCCCTTCACCTCCATGCCCATGTAATTGTGCCAAAGTCAGCATTGGTCTGTTTTCAGGTTCTAAAACTGTTGACCCTCCAATGATAAGAATGGAAATTCTACAAAATACACCAGAATGGCTTGAAATTATTGCCTTAGCTGTTGAATGGATGTGCTTGGACTGAGGCAATTTTTTTTAAGGACAGAAAGTTAATGATTATCTTTCTGCATCACCCAATACATTGCTGTTGCTAAAGAAAGCAACACACTTAGATCTACTGACTTTGAAGAATCTTAAAACCAACAACCTTCCCAAAAAGATGCTTTTGGACCAGTTGTAACATTTTTCTCCCTGATGACCTGCTCAAGGAAAGATTCCATTCACATCTTCTACCCAGCAAATTGGGGATTTGAACCTTGTAGGTGAGAAACTGCTTTGGAAGGGTCAGATAACAGGCAAATCATGACATAATTTCTGTTTTCCAGGCCAGAATGTATTTTCAGTCTTTTTTGTTGAGTCACATGTGTTCTGCAGCAGCTCAGGTGCAGCTCAGGTGTCCATTGATTTCCCAGTGATACTGTTGTTCCCCAACTTGCAGTCACTGGTAGCATTGTTGAATTATTGCCATTTTGAGAATCAGAACTATGTATTTCCAATCTTCATGACAGTGTCAGGTGGGGGACATAGCAGAAAGAGAAAGAAAGAGCCGGAATAATGAGAACCTTCCCTCCTCCCCTGGGACTCACCAGAAGCAAGAGGGAAGAGGAAGGGGAGGCAGACTTTCTTGTCTCCCCATGTGCAAGTAATGCAGCTGTTTAAGCCATAAACTCTTGGGGAAAAGAGCTTGTATCCAAGATCTCCCTAATGCAAGTGATTGGCCCCGGGCTTTTTGTCCAGGCAGCTGGTAGCCTCCAGTTACAGGAACGTGTTTATCTCTTCTCTGGCATCAGATATGTGGCCATGTGCAGCTGCTTGGATATAGTCAAGTTGCCTGATGAAAAGCAACAGGTTTTCTCATAAAGTGATATATTTGATTGAAAGATAGATAGACTCACTCCCTTTACCTGCCCCCCCACCCCGTCCCACTGCTACCCTTGTGCTAGCCTTGAGAATCAGAGTTTTGCTCCCAACATGGTGGCTACATAGCCCATTTGGAAGGTGGAGTGTTTTTGTCTTGAAGTCCAAGAATGCCCTACAAAACATACAATGGCAAAGGGGGGATTTTTATCAAATTTTTCCACAAAGCAAATGACTGCCACTTGGTATATATTAGAAACTGCCATTTTTGTATTCCCAGCACATAGCTCAATGTGGGGGAAATAGTGAGTACTAATAAGTACTAATTGACTAAATTGAGGGGAAGGTTCTGCATCAAAATGTTTCTGATAAAAGTCTGATATCCAAGATTTGTAGAGATTAGATAAAATATAGAAGACCAAGAATCATTCTCCAGCAGGTAAGCAGCCAAAAGATGAAATCTCCAAAAGAAATGCCAACAGTCAGCAATAAGAGAAATGCAAATTAAAACACCTTCAGTGAGGATGGATTGGGTGAAGGTTTGACATGGCCCAGCCACTTGAAAAACCAAATTTAATTCCTTTTATGGCCTTGTTAGGTGGACAGTTTCTTAACTGTGGCAAACAAATATAGAAGACCTAAAAACAGGGACCCACTTCTACAAAGGTTTGAGTCCAAGAGGACATGGACTTAGCTTGACCAAAAGCTACTAATAGAAGATAGCAACATAAGGAGGTTCTGTGGGTTTCCAAGTCACCTGGTCCATGCTGGTCATTGGCACAGTAGCATGTAGAGTCAGTTAATGCACCCAAGGAGACCCCAACTATCTTATTGGGGATAGCAGATAATTTTAAAAGGTTCCCTTTGGTTTGGGACGTGTCTTGGTATTTTATATGTAGTATGGGTGATTCTGAGGCCCTGGGAATTCAATTTGTTTTGGTTTGGTTCAGACCTGCGATTTTAATTTATGGGGGAACTCTTACATTGCCACATTGGCATCCTTTTTGTAGCTTAATAGTCTTAGAGTTTTCTGGGGAACTGAGATGTTAAGTGACTTAGTCTCAGCAGCAGGACACAAAACCTGGATCCCTCTGACTCCGAGGCCAGTCCTTTAACCACTGTGCCAAATGTGTACAAAATAACAAAACCTCATTATAGAAATCTAATTCAGGTAGAGCTGAAAAACAAAACCTAATTATGCAATTTCCCAGTCTTGATCTTTTTGTTTTCATTCTTCATCTTCACCAAGACCTACCTGGGGATGGGGCAGTGTCTTCTCTCCCAGGTTTAAAGCCAGAGCTGCCTTCGGGTCAGCTCCCCCCAGAAAGGGAAATAATGATGAGTGATGGAGTGAGAGGAGTCAGATTCTCAGTGAGCTCTAGACTTCATATTTATTCTTACTCTCCCCATTCTGAGAGAAAGTTAATACTGTTAAAAGGAGTTCACTAGTAGGTTAAATCAACATGAACACAAGATTGCTTGTGGGGATAAGGTCCTGACCTGAACTGGTCGTGTTTCCCCAGAAGTGTTGTTATTTAGAAGGGAAATTTAGAAAAGGAAGTTATGAGGACAACCTGAAGGCATTTAGGAAATGGCAGTCCTGTATAGAGAGAGAGGGTCATAAGCTGTTGATCTTAATTCATCTCTCTATATAATATTTGTTGACCTCCTGTGAAGAGGTATAGGAGGCTATGGGTGGATTCCAATTTCTGCCACGTGAAAGAGTACTGACTTCAGTAAGATAAGAGCTATAACTAAGGTAAGACAACCAGCATTTTGCCCTCGGACGCCATATCTAGAGGGTGCTGATAGTACGTGTTTTTCCGAAGAGTTTAGCTTAGTAAGAAGAACTGATAAAATAGAACATTGAAGCTCAGTACTAACTTGCTGTGGATATTTTCATTCCTATAAATCCCTTTTATCGAGGATTTTGAAATAATCCTGAATGAGTCATTGAAAAGGGTTCAGAGGCTTTCCTCAGACTCTTTTTCATTCAGCATCCAAGCAATCTGTTGGTAAAGAAGTTATTTCAGTAGTGTTATGTTGTAGTATAGCCATTCATGTATAGAATTATGCACTTTGCAGACAGTAAGCTCCCTGAGGGCAGGGATAGGATAGTGCTCCCCAGGCAGCGAGTGCTAAAGGGCGCCTGTGGAGTGAGCCTCATGATTGCAACATGGCACATGTATCATGCCCTGCTGATTCTGGCATGGAATCGAACACACACTGGGGTCTCCTCATAAAACCCTGACAGCTGCGGTCCCTAATTCTCAGTATTTCTGGGCAAGTAAACTGTGGCCTCGTTTTCATCATGAATCAACTTGACCCCACCCAGCAGGTTTTGATGTTGTGGAATTCCATTGGCCCAGTGGGTAACGGTTGGGGTGGGGAGTATGCAACACTGAGCTATCATACCGCGATCAATGAGATGTGCTCTAGTGCCTAATATAAACTTTTGGATTGTCTCCCAGAGTGCCCCTCTGTTTGTGCAGATATGGAACCCTTGATTTCTCAATATGACCCAACATAATACAATATAAACATCTCCCCGATGCTTCCTTTGATAACACATGCAAAATAACCTTTCTCAACAAGCTTTTTAAGCCAAATTGGAAATTATTATGAGGTGTTAGGTTATTAATGCCGTATTATCTTCCTTCCCCCAGCAGATGGAAGCAAAGGGAGTGGGCTTACTGTAAGTAAATCTCTTTGATTCAGATTTCGGAATTGTGGGTTTCGGAGAGTGGCCTAACCTTGCCTTTGGGTAGGGCGGCACCTGGACTGTCTCAGACATATGGATGGGCATCCTCATCTAGATTTTCAGAAGACATTCTACAGCTGTTTCCAATAACCAAGGCTGTTCTCTGACCCGCCCTTCTAGACGGGAACATCTTTGTCCATATGGGCTCCTTAGAGAAATTGAAACTGTCTTTCTTTTGTTCTCAGCAGCTGGGCCCTTTCCTCCCTTGGGAGAACCATTAGTGAGTCCTGCCCTTCTTATTTCAGGGATAAAGAAGTCCACCAACTTGAATTCATAATACCTGTGTTGATGCCTCGGGACTTTTCACTCTTCCTGCTATTTCCTTTTTCACCCAAAGTCCAACCTCCCAAATTGGACACAGTGCCTTACTTGAGTAAGTATCTGGCTGATGCTGAGCATGCTGGGAGGAGTGCTAAAAGAAATCAAAATCCCAGGCTCGGAAGGCTCCTCTGGTAGCCATCTAGACCAACATTTAATGGGAATAGTCCTCTATCCAGCACACCCAGTGAAGCCATCGAGCCTTGCCTTGCCTTGCAGACCTCCAGTGAGGGGTAACTCGCTACCTCCAGAGGCAGCCCTTTCCACTCTGAAATACTCTCAGCTTTTTGTAAGGTTTTGCTGGTGTCAAGCCAACATCCTCCCCTATGCAATTTCCATCTTTTGGTCTTCATTCTGACCCCTGGGGCCAAGGAGAACCACTCTGATGCCTTTCAAGTACTTGGAAACAGCTCTTGGGTCCTTCTTGAGTCTGCTCTTTTTCAGGCAAACATCCTTCAAGTGGTCCTGTGCTGTGATCGCAGTCACCTGCCTGGTCACTCTCCTTGGAATGGCCTGAGGGTTGTTAATATTCTTGCAGAAATGCGATATCCAGAAATCTTGACTTGTGACACATTGGGCCAGGGCAGAGTACAGAGAGACCATCAACTCCTCGTCAATTAAGTTTACAACTTAGACAGCTGTATAGACCCATGCCTCTCCATGTCATCTAAATTCTCATCACCTTCCATGTCACACTGCTGACTCATATTTAGCTTGTGGTCCGCTAAGAACTCCACCTCTATCTTTGTCAGATGAACCATGGTCTAGCCATTCTTTCCCCTCCCCCAACATACAGCAGTTTTCTGGGACTCCACAAATTCCGTTAAAATTTTCTTCTGAGACCAGCAAGCAGTAAAAACTCTTGTTAAAGAAAAAAACCAAATATGTTAATATGCATTTTAGAGACTAGCTAACTACTATTTTCTTTATGTTAGTAAAAACCAGAAATTTTCAGAGGTTAAAAGCATGTTTGTTAAACTCTAGGAGGAAAAATGAACCTTGTGGATGAATGATGATCTTTTCATCCTGAGGTTTCTATTCTCTGTGGAAGAAAAATAGCAAGATTGGACTGAGAAATAGGCTTTATTTTTACATTGAAAAAAATTAATAATTTTTTCATTTGTTTTGTAAATAATTATGTCCATGTTTGACAATAGGCAGTGACTGATGTTTGTAAGATGTACTTTTTGTACCTTAGAAAGTTTGCATCGAATAAAGTCACGTTTTAATATTTTGGCTGTCTGGTGTTTCAAGAAATGCTTCCTTTGTACATGATGCTTTCTGAATGTTGTCTGGGAAGGGTAAAAAACCACCTGAACCTGGTTCTGCTTAAACAGTGCTCTGACCTCTGAACATAGCTGACCTCCCTGTCCCAGAGAAAAACAGGCTGACCTCTTGGTAACCTGTGATTTTGGTAGAGTGGTCTAAGGAGCAATGACCTTCTGGCCCTTGGGGCTCACTGTCTCTTGAGCAAAGTTCCCTTATGTCAGGGGACCTATACCCAATCAGTCAAGCTACGTGCATTTATTAAGCACCCACTGTATACCAGGCATACGCTAGATGTGAAAGCTACAAGTACAAAAGAGAAATAGTACTGGCCCTCAAGAAGCTTCTATACTCTCTCTCTCTTCCTCTCCATATATGCACACACTCACACACACACACACACACACACACACACACACACACACATATATATTATACACACACCACCTATACACTATATTGGTTATATACATATTGGTTATATTCATATTTAAATGTTATTAGTTAACCATTATTATGTGCCAGGCACCATGCTAAATGCTTTACAAATATGATCTTATTTGATCCCCACAACAACCGCGGGAGGTGGGTGCTATTATTATTCCCATTTTACAATTCAGGAAACTGAGGCAGACAGGTGAAGTAACTTGTCCAGGGTCACACAGCCAAAAAGGATCAGAGGTGACATTCACACTTGGTCTTCCTAACCTGTACCTTTCTCACTCTCATCACGACCTCCCATATGCGTGCTCAGTGACCAGTAAGAACTTTTTTGTGTGTGTGTTTTTTTTCCAGGCAATTGGGGTTAAATGACTTGCCCAGGGTCACACAGCTAGTGTCAAGTGTTTGGTCTGAGGCCGGATTTGAACTCAGGTCCTCCTGACTTCAGGGCCAGTGCTCTATCCACTGTGCCATCTAGCTGCCCCAACCAGTAAGAACTTTAAAAGAATACAGGGCCCAACTTTGTGCCTCAGATATTTGAAAGAGCTTAGCACTGTGCCTGGCACATAGTAGGTACTTTTAAAATGTTTATTGAGGGGTAGCTAGGTGGAGCACTGGCCTTGGAATCAGGAGGACTTGAGTTCAAATCCAGCCTCAGACACTTGACACTAGCTATGTGACCCTGGGCAAGTCATTTAACCCTGATTGCCTCACCAAAAATAAATAAATAAAAATAAAAATGTTTATTGACTATGACTAAATATTTGTGTTAGGAACCAGGTTTGGCCAAACAGAATGTTGATATGGAATCCAACAGACCTGTTGTTTATTCCTGATTTTCACTGCATCTTCTTGGATTGTCTGGTTATGTGACCTTATTTCTTGAGTCCATTCTCTTCCTCTCTTCGGGTGATGACAGTGTAAGACTGTGGAAAGAGCACTGACTCTGGAGTCAGGTGACCTGGGTTCAAATCTTGCCTTTGGGGCACTTGGGGGTCCACAAGCAAATCCCTTTGCTCCCATAAGTCTCAGTTTTCTCATCTGTTGGACTACCCCGTATCTGAAGCCCCTTCCAACTCTAAATCCATGATCGTAGGGTCTGTACTCTAGGTTACTTGAGAACAAGTAACATGGGACTTGTTGAGTCTGAGTCTGGAAGATCTGAGTTTTACTAGCTGTGTGACCCTGGGCAAGTCACCTCACTCTGCCTCAGTAATCTCCTCTATAGAATGGGGGTAATAATAGCCTAGCACCTGCCTTCCAGCTACTCTCATTCCAATGTACTCTCCAGCTGTGCCTCTTCTAAGAGGTGTCTGGCTGTCTCTGACATTTATGAGCTGTGTGACCATTGCAAGTGTCTTAACCCCTCTGAGCCTCAGACAATCCTGCTCCATTACTGATGGATTTGAAATAATTCTTCCTTAGCATATCGATATGCACGGTTGTTCCTATAGAAGGATATGCCTCTGATATGATTGGGAGAACATTGGCAGCTGAGATGCATGTGTCACAGTCCTTTCCTTAGGCGTAGAATTTCTGAGATCCTTCCTAGTGCATTTTCGTTTTAGACTTGGTGGCGTTACTATGTCTGGTTTACAGAAACCTGACACTCCCTCCCTCCCAATATTGCGCTCCCCCAGAGTTGCAGGAGCCCGTTGGCTTCCTCTTTCTGTTTCCTCTTTGTCCAGAGAGCTTTGCAGCCGCTTTCTGCACCTTCCTCCCCTCCCCCTGAAAGGAGAGCTTAAACTGGATTTGAAGCCCGCTGGGCTAGCTTTCTTTCTTTGAGGCTGCCTCTGGGGAGGTTGGGGTTATCTGCCACTGGAGGTCACCAAACAGAGGCTAGGTCACCACTTGTCAGGTACATTGTCATGGAGTTTCCTTTGGGGGTATGAGTTAGACAAGTCCACAGTGCTGAAGTCGTCTGATCAAAGGTTGGAGAGGAATGAGGTCACTGAGCTGCGTTCCTTCATTTTACAGATAAGATAACTGAAGCCTAGAGAGGGGGAAGACTTTGTCTGCAGGCACCCAGAAACTAAGTATAAAAGGCAGGGCTTGCAGGACCATAGCGTTTTCGGATTAGATGAGATGTAGATGTCACCCAGTCTACCCCTCCCCCCTCATTTTGCTGATGAGGAAACTGAGGCCCAGAAAGTTTAGTGATTGCCCGAAGTCATACAAATGTTGTTGTTGTTGTTAAGTCATTTTCAGTTGTGTCTGACTCTCTTTCTTGGCAAAGATACAGGAGTGGCTTGCCGTTTCCTCCTCCAGTTCATTTTACAGATGAGAAAACTGAGGCAAACAGGATTAAGTGATTTCTCCGAGGTCACATAGCTAGTAAGTGTCTAAGGTGGGATTAGAACTCAGGTCTTTCTGACTCCAGGAATGGCACTCTATCCACTGTGCCCCTAGCTTACCTAGAATCATACAAATAGTAGTCAACAAAATCATTTTTAAAAATAACTGGAATCCTGGGATTCTATGTATCTAATTGTTTTTACTCTCTTAGAGCACTGGGGCTCTGGCTGGACAAACTATTGTATATGATTGTGATGAAATACTACTTTGTTATAAGAAATGATAAGCAGAATGCTCTCAGAAAAACCTGGAAAGACTTACATGAACTGATACAAAGTAAAATGAGCAGAACCAGGAGAACATTGTATACAGTAATAGCAATATTGTATGATGATCAACTGTGAATGACCTAGCTATTCTCAGCAATACAGTGATCCAAGACAATTCTGAAGGACTTATGATGATAAATACTATCCATCTCCAGAGAAAGAACTGATGGAGTCTGGAATGCAGATTGAAGAAGACTTTTTCTTTATTTTTCTTGGGGCTTTTTGGTCTTCTTTTTTTTTTTTACAACATGACTAACATAGAAATGTTTTGTAAATTGCATGCCTTGGGGGGAGTGGGGGGGAAAGGGACAAAGAGAATTTGCAACTAAAAAAATTTTTAAATGAATGTTAAAAATCGTTTTTACATGTGATTAGGGAAAAGGAAATATCAAATTAAAGGCTTATCAGTAGGGACCTTGACGTGTATGAGGATGGTGACAAGGGGAAATGTGTTGAGGAAGACTGTGAGTCAGATGGCAAAGTCATGGAGAAAGGTAGGAGATTGCCCAAGAGCTCACTAGGTGACAGCAGCAAGGATGGGACAAGAATTGCCTGGTGAAATACATGAACTGCAAAGATGAAGTGCAGTAGGAGAAGGCTGGCTGTCACCTTACCCTGCAAGCATCAGGGAGATAGGAATGGAGAGGGTTGTGGAGAGAAGGCTGCAAGAGTGCTGGAGGCTTCAGTGGAAATCCAGGTTTCAGGAAATTCAAGGTGAGAGAGAGAGAGGATATATAGCCCAGGCTCTTCTATCCTCCATTATCTCCTTAACTGTGTCCAAGTTCATGTTTGTTGCTTCCTTGACACTATCTATCCATCACATCCTCTGCCATCCCCTTTTCCTTTTATCTGCAATCTGTCCAACATCAGGGTCTTTTCCAATGAGTTCCATCTTCTCATTATATGGCCAGAGTATTAAAACTTCAGCTTCAGTATTTGACCTTCCAGTGAATAGCCTGAATTAATTTCTTTATGTATAATCAACTGATTTGATCTCCTTGCTGTCCAAGGGACTCTCAAAAATCTTCTGTAGCAAGACAATTCCGAAGTGCCGATTCTGCGGTGCTCAGCTTTCCTTCTAGTCCAACTCTCACAGCCATACATTGCTACGGGAAAAACCATAGCTCTGACTATATGGACCTTTGTCAGCAAGGTAATGTCTCTGCTTTTTGGTATGCCATCCAGATCTGCAATTTCATGGCCACAGTTGCCATCTGCAGTGATCTTTGAGCCCAAGAATATAAAATCTGACACCACCTCCATTTCTTCTCCCTCTATTTGCCAGGAAGTGATGGGACCAGTTGTCAAGATCTTAGTTTTTTTGATGTTAAGCTTCAAGCCAGCTTTTTACTCTCCTCTTTCACCCCCATCAAGAGGCTTCTTAATTATCCATTTTTTTTTTGCCATTAGAACGCTTTGTTTACAGAGCTGAGATTATTGATATTTCTCCTAGCAACCTTAATTCTGGCTTTTGATTCATTCAGCCTGATATTTTGTATGATGTACTCTGTATATAAGTTAAATAAATAAGGTGACAATATATAGCCTTGTCACACTCCTTTTCCAATCTTAAACCAATCTGTTCTAACTGTTAATTCTTGGTCCCCCATAGAGGTTTGTTAGGAGACAAGTAAGATAAATCTGGTATTTCCAACTCTTTGAGGACTTGCCACATTTTATTGTGATCCATACAGTCAAAGGCTTTAGTGTAGTCAATGAAGTAGAAGTAAATGTTTTTCTGGAACTCCCTTGCTTTCTCCATAATCCAGCAGATATTGGCAATTTGGTCTCTACTTCCTCTGCCTCTTCTAAAACCAGCCTGCTCTCCTGGTAATTCTTGGTTCACATAGTGCTGAAGCCTAGCTTGCAGGAGCTTAAGCATGAC